CACCATAAAAGGAATTTCAGATGGTTGAAACTCTTATATTAGCATTTAAAGTGCTTAGAAAAGTGAGATGGTMAAATATTCGAAACATAMAGTTTCCAATTTATAGACTTTYSGTAAACTGAAAATGGCMGCCTCCGGACCCTTGCGGCCCCCAAAGCATAATGGTGCACACTGGGCCTTTAACATCCATAACAGACTGCAGTTATTTGTGATTCAATTTATTAATTCATTTGTCCATTAGATGTATTCAATCATAATATTCATTTTATTTGATCTTCGAATGTATTTACACCTTGACACCAGTCGCAGCTCTGTTTTGTGGAATGAATTTTGATGGCAGAGAGATTGACGTAAGACTGGATAGATTTGGTTGATAGTTGTTGGAGTACATACACTGGCCTTTTCGTATTGTAGTTGTTTACCACTGTCATTCAYATTAAGTTGCCAAAGTTGGATGGATGGAGAAGTGTTGGAGAGTTCGCTGTTGATAGGTGAAAACCAAATGTCTTGTCTTCCTGTTGGAGATGTACCCATAAGATGCTCAAAGATGTTCTGAACAATATAGTCTGCCGGAGAGTGTCTTGTTTTGGCGCCCTTGTTTTGAGGAGAAGAAAGTTGGGTATATTGCCATGAACTTGATCTATGCTTTTGGAAATTTATGACAAAACCTTACATGTACGTTGCTGGCTGTCTACTGCATAGGGAAAGGTTTGAATATTGTTACATGTATATGAGAGCAAGAACTTGCCTTGAACTTGATCTATGGTCTTGGAGGTTGAAGACACAGATGGTTATATTGAGTAAATTGTTGTCCGTGTACTGCAGAGGGGGTTGTAATTGAAAAGAAGAAAGGTTTGTGTATTGTTCGATGAGAGMCAGAACTTTCCTTGAACTTGATCTATACTTTTGGAGATTTAASATGAATGCTTRCAGTTCAAGTACGTTGTTGGTTGGAGACAGATGTCATCTACTGAGTGGAGGTTTTGATTGTGAAGACAGAAGATTGAACTTGTAYTGCTGGAGAGATGTTTCTTGATAGAAAGCTGCTTACATGTACATTGGCATGTAGAACAGTGTCATCTGTTTGTGTCTGAGAAGACGTTTTATGCATTGATTCGAATTTTATTTGGTAATTMTAAAGTGCTTTTGGTGGTTTTAATGTTAATGGGCAAAGCCTAACCAGTTGTAAATGAGACTTCACATGGAGGATTGTTGGACATGTTATTTAGTTTGTTATTTAACTTGACCAGATGCACTGTACATTCAAAACACATGATCTGKTGAGAGATTGATGTAGCTTAGATTTTGCATGTTTTAGGGGCTGGGATAAGTTGATTTCTGACACAACTTGAATGATGTAGAGACAGTTTTGTTGGTATAATCCTGTATTCCTTATTTGAAGTAGTTTGTTAATACTTTGCACACTTTTGGATACTGTTGTCCTTGAGACATTTTAGAGATGGCCAGTGTTAAAATACATGTATGACACTATGTAGAAAATTGTCTTTGTTTTGATTAGTTGCTTGAAATGAGATTTGACGAATATTAAAGTCTACATGATAGTTGGAATACAGTAAGTGAAAAGGGTTTGAAGCTGGCTTTTTTGTTTGGGCTCCTAGTTTTTTTACATGTTAATGCTCCTAAACCTGGAATGATATTAATTTTATAAATGAGTTTGGTGGACTCGAGGGGCTCCTTGTATTGTATGGGACGAAGGCGGCAGATACAAGGGGTTTCTCTGTATGGAATGGAGTGGATTAAATGGATTAATTTGCAACACAATTTATGGTGACTATAAAGATTTGAATTGTATGCACTGCATTTAAGGAYCTTCTCAGTATTTTATGGAGATTTCTGAAAAGGTTACTTTTAAATTGTATGAGGTGAACTGAAGATCTTTCTTGGTATCGCATTGGGGATAACTGAAACGGTTACTCACTGTTGCTGAAGTGAAGTGGTTCCTTGATATTGTATTGGG